ACACACTCACACACACACACTCACAGACACAGACACACACACAGGCACTCACACACACACACTCACAGACACACTCACTCACTCACTCACACAGACACACATACAGCTGTTAAAGCCAGATCGGGTCAAACACACACACGGATAGTGATGTTAATGACTGAACGCGCTACAGAGGGTTCGATTTAATGTTTATTAATCCTTAATTAGTGCAGAAATTAAATAAACGCGGAACACTGAAGCGCGGCTAACAGGCCTGATGCTAAAGCTAATGCTAACAGCAACCTGACTGAACCGCAACACAAACACTCACACTCTCTCTCTCTCTCTCTCTCTTTCTCTCTCACACTCTCTCTCTCTTTCTCTCTCTCACTCTCTCTCACACTCTCTCACTCACTCACTCACACACACACACACACGGTATTATTATCACGATAACAACACACCTGATTCATCATTACACTCAATAACACACACTTCAGGAGAGGAAGCAGCGCCAACACACACTAAAGCACAAACCCAGAGCTAACACACACACTCAGATTAAACACACACACACTTACTGAGCGACACGCGTGAGAACTGCGCGGAAACACACAGACGGGCCTGAAGATCACCGGAGCTGCTCTACCGACACACCGAGCTCTACCTCTCTCTCTCTCTCTCTCTTTGAACAATGTAAAAGTCTTAGTCTAAAAACAGGATTCATTTTCTATATGCAAAATAGTTATTTTTCTTTTGATTTCGAGGTGAAAAAATGACACACACTCACTCACTCTGTCTCTCTCTCTCTCTCTCTCTCTCCTCGCTCTACCACACTCACTCACTCTCTCTCTCCTCGCTCTACCACACTCACTCACTCTCTCTCTCCTCGCTCTACCACACTCACTCACTCTCTCTCTCCTCGCTCTACCACACTCACTCACTCTCTCTCTCCTCGCTCTACCACACTCACTCACTCTCTCTCTCCTCGCTCTACCACACTCACTCACTCTCTCTCTCCTCGCTCTACCACACTCTCTCTCTCTCTCTCTCCTCGCTCTACCACACTCACTCTCTCCTCCTCGCTCTACCACACTCACTCAGTCTCTCTCTCTCTCTCTCTCTCTCTCCCTCTCCTCGCTCTACCACACTCACTCACTCACTCTCTCTCTCTCTCTCTCTCTCCTCGCTCTACCACACTCACTCTCTCTCTCCTCTTCTCTCTCTCTCTCTCCTCGCTCTACCACACTCACTCACTCACTCTCTCTCTCCTCTGCAGCTTTTGTCTTCTCCAGATGTTAACTGATGGACTGGAGTGCTGTGGATTATTGTGATGTTTTTATCAGCTGTTTGGACTCTCATTCTGACGGCACCCATTCACTTGCAGTGAGACACTGATGCAATGCTACATTTCTCCAAACCTGACGTAGAAACAAACTCATCCTGATCAGTATCTGCTGGACAGACTACAGTCACTCCAGATCAACAGTCGGCTCAGTCAGAAAGTGTGTGGTTCCTCGTGACAGCAGAAGGCAGGGTTTGAGTCTGACGTCTGCAGGAGCGTCTCGTGTTCAGCATCCTGTCAGAGGAACCCAGAGGAACCGGACGCTCAGAGCCGCAGGATGGTAAGATCGTCTCATTCTGTCAGATCTGACTGCATCAATAACGGGTTCGAGTCGCAGAGAGTCCAGTTCCAGAGCTGCTTTATGACTTTACTTTAAATAAAAACAGGAAGCAAAGCATTACAGCACAGCACGCACACTTCCTGTCCTCGACCTCTCCAGCTAGCGGCTCTAACGGCCGTAATTCAGTCTGATTTGAGTTTAGCTCTGGTGTAATGCGTGCTGAAGCTGTCGGGCTGAGTTACAGATCTGTTGGGTTTGTCTGTTGTCTCCTCAGTCGAGTTCTCTAGTCGTGTGCGAGGTGGACGTCAGTCTGCAGGAGAAGCTCAAGAAGTTCCGCTTCCGTAAGGAGACCAGCAACGCAGCCATTCTGAGTGAGTCTGACACGCGCTGTTGATCTGTGCGAAACAAACGAAAGTGATTTTCTCATTCAGCGCATGTGTTCCTCAGTGAAGATCGACATGGAGAAGCAGCTGGTGGTGCTGGAGGAGGAATATGAGGTCAGTGTGACCTTTGTGCTGCTCTGAGGGTCAGGGGGTCAAAGGTCATCTCACCTGTGTGTGTGTGTGTGTGTGTGTGTTTCAGAACATCTCACTGGATGAACTCAGAGAAGAGCTTCCAGAGCGTCAGCCTCGATATCCTCACCGATCTCATCATCTGATGTCTTGACATTCATGCATTTAGTAGATGTTGGTACTGTTGTTAACTAAAACTTAAACCATTAAAAACATTTTTTTTGTTAACTGAGCATGATCGAAACATGAACTGAAATTATTTCATTTCAGCTCATTGTCGTGAAGTTTAACTTTAAGTACTAAAATAACTACTGAACCAAAAATGTATAAAACATATCTAGACATATTTAAAAGAAGCTAATAAAATGACAAAAACACAACAAAATTAAATTAAATTAAAACTTAAACATAAAATACTTGCAATAAAATAAACATCAGATGAAACAAAATAAAATATAAAAACATTAACTTATTTTATTTCTTATAAAATTTCGCATTTTAATTTAGTTAAACTTGAATTACTAAAATAAGTCAAACTAAACCTGAAATAAAAATTAACATTTAATTAGACGTTTAAAAAAGAAACGAATAAAAATCACAAAAACATACAACAAAATTACTCAAATTTAAGCCAAAAATACTTGAATTCAAATAAAAACTTTAAAAAATGTAAAATGCATTTTATCTAGTTGCCAAAGGCAATATTTCTGAACATGAAGTACTAAAATAATGAAAACTAAAATTTATAAAAACTATATAGACAATAAAAATGACTAAGACTAAAGCTGAAAATAAAAACGAATTGACATGTTAACAGTAAAAGCCAACAGTAGTGTGTTCAGTGTGTGTTCTTTGACTCAGATGCACGTATATCGTGTACAGTTATAAACTGACCCACGGTGACGGACGCGTGTCGTATCCGCTCTGCTTCATCTTCTCCAGTCCTGTGGGTGAGTAGAGACGTCTGCCACACACACAGATCAGTGACTGCGCTCACACCACATCAATCCCTTCTGTGCAAATAAACTCAATCTGCTGTTTTAAAGGTAATCTGATCTGAGCTCAGATGCTTGTGATGTGAGAAGTGAACTGACCTGAGCCTCCAGCTCCTTCTCGTTCATGTCTCTGTGTTTGCACACCAGCACAGCGTTCGTAGACGACGGAGCGCCGACCTTCGCTCGCCGCTTGCTCAGACGTACCCTAAAACACACACACACACACGGTCAGTAACACACACTGAGCCGGAGTGGGCGGAGCCGTCTGTGTGATTGACAGTTACCTGGTCTCCAGCTCATTGTAATAAACACCGTCTCCGTCTCTGAAGATGAAGAAGTAGTTCTCCTCGTATCCTTTACTGGCCTTGTTCTTCACATTCCAGTTGTACTCGCGAGCGATTTTATAATCATACCTGCACACACACACACACACACGTCATGTTAGCAGCATTGAGATCCTATTGTCGTTTTTTTCATTAATATTTTAAATTAGTTAAATTTTTGTCATTTTTTTATTTCAGTTTTAGGTATTTTTATGAAAGCTTGATTCTGCCATTGGAAAGAAAATAATAAAGGTAATTTTGACTTTTTATCTTGCAATTTAAGCTTTTTTTCCTCAGAGTTGCAAGATGTAAACTCAAGATTACGAAATAAAAAAAACTCCAAACTGCAAGATATAAATGGCCAGAAATGAGGGGGAAAAAGTTCCATTAATTTGAGCATAAAATTAACCTTCCCGGATTCAGAAATGCTTTGTAAACTTCAGATCTACTAGTTAAACATCTGTTACTGAATTCCAATCATTTGTAAAAGAAAAAAAAAGGAGTGCACTCGTACGCTTACAATTAGTATAATCCTGCCAATTATGTGAATTACATGTGTGTGTGTCAATGAAATGTTGCAAACCCAATCACTCTAGTGACTGTGAATGATGATGTGCTGGTGTTTGAGTCTTACACTTCGTCAGGCATGTACTCCAAATCCTCGTCCACGTCTCTCTTGCGTTTGCGCATCGTGTCCTCGTTAGGCAGGAAGTACGCCACAAACTGATTCCCCTCCTCGTCCATCATACCCCTGAACACACACACACACACACACACACATCAGATTAGCTGACATCAGGCCGGTTTTGCAGAGCTTGCTTCTCAGGATGCAGGCTGTGATGAGCAGTGGTCTGAAGAGAGGATGCACACACACCTGATCATGGCCTGAGACATCATGTCCACCCCCGCTGGTGCAGAAACATCTTTAGGCGCCGGATCAGAATCGAAGATGACTTGAGCACACGGATTAATCCACATCTGTGACCGACAGACGGACGAGAGATGGACAGATATGAGCACTGAGTGTAACGTATGTTTGTGTGTCTGTCTGTGGTGATCAGCTCATGCTTCACACGGAGATGCGAGACAGATAGAGAGCTCGGACAGACGGGCGGCGTCACACTCACTTGACTTCCACTTTCTCGTTGGAGACGCCGTATCTGTTGAACTCGGTGGAGATGTACTCCGTCTTCCTCATCCACGGCACCACCTTCGCGTGCTGCTGCGACCTACACACACACACACACACACGTCAGAACTGGGGGTCAAAGGTCACGGGAGAACGAGCTCCTGTGCTGAAATGATTCTCTCGCACCTCTTTGAGCTCGACGGAGCCTGGATTTCCTCCTCCAGCAGCTTCTCATCAGCAGGATCCAACAGAACTGAAACACACACAAGCCAAGGCACCTTTATTTCTACCGCGCTGTATCCAGCGTAGACCGTGTCGAAGCAGTGTGTGTGTGTGTGTGTGTGTCTGGGCTCACTGCTGGGGTCGATGCGGTACGTGTCGGGGTTGATGAGGTCGATGGTGACGCCCAGATCCGGTTCGGTGAGCAGCTCGTGCTTGTGTTGCTTCTCCAGTGACGTGGCTTTATACTGCACAAACCTGCAACACACAGCACGCGGTCAGTGCGACATATCCCAGCAGCCCCTCCGAGCCGAGCCGAGCCGAGCCGAGCCGTACCTGTGCTGGTCAAACGGATACGTGATGAACTTGGGATCGAACGGGATATCCGGAAGACTGTTGCCATACTTCACTCTGCACACCACGCCGGACCTGCAGCACACAAGAGTTCAAACACACCACTGTTTCCAGACAGGTTTCCCTGATGATGTCAACCTCTGAATCAGCCAATCGCGTGCGAGAGGGGCGCAGCCCCTCTCGCACGCGATTGGCTGAGTCAGAGGTTGACATCACACACTATGCACACTAAACAGTACCGAAGAATACTAATGATGAGCACTATTAAGGGTGTATAGCATGCGAATGGGATGCAGGTCATCATCAGTACCTCTCTGGGACGCTTCTGTGAGCTGAGCTCCTGCAGAAACACAAAGCACACGTGACACACTACATGAGACACGGCCAGTTCACAACAGCGAGTCTCTCATTAAACACACCAGAGTAATTAGCGCGAAGAAGGGTTGCCTGCGCTATAGTGAGTGTGGTCGTGATCTCTCACCGGTGTCCGTCCTCCCGCTGCGCTTGCGTCTGGACAGTAGGAGCCATGCTGGAGCAAACAAACGCGCTTCGCCACGCAACAAAAACAAAGGGTTTAAAGCAGTTTAAGCAACAACGCGCTTGCTTGCTTGTGTGTGTGTGTGTGTGTGTGTGTGTGCGACTTCCGCCCCGCACCGTCTGCTGAAGGACCCCGCGCGGCTGCCCCGATCAGCGCCTGCATTAAAACGCTGTATATGTGTTCATGCATTCATAAGCTCACATGATGGTGTACAGTGTTGGGGAAAGCTACGTTTAAAAGTAATAAAGTTCTTTTAAAAAAAGTAACGAATTGCGGTACTTTTATGGAAAGTAACGCGTTACGGTACTTTTGCGTTACTTTTACTCATCTGCCTTGGCACAATTTTTCTCTCTTTAGAAACAACAACAACAAGAAACACAGATGTTATGTTTATCTAAAAAAAAAAAAGTGCTCAGAATGGTTGAATTGGATCATCGAAGGTCAGCGGCAAATATACTGGTTAATAAAATGGAATTAAATACATAAAGGATATTTGTGTTATTTAGCATGTTTGCATGCTCTTACAGGAGACTGTCAGACAATGCACGAGAAACAAAGGAACTAGTTATTAAAAAGTAATGCATTAACAACAACCCAGATTTATAAACGCTTTGTAATTCATGTTATTTAGTGCATTAACTAATGTGAGCACAGGTAACCTTATTGTAACGGATGATTTGATTGGTCTATGGCTCTCTTTGTATGAAATATAAAGCATTATTTTTATTTCTATGGAAGCAGATGGTGGCTGGAGAGATCTGCGCTCGGTTTTGTTCAGTGTAGAAAAGAAACCTCTGAAAACTCTGTTAAAACGGCTTTATTTGTATTATTGGGTAAAAAAGACACACTGGTACCAAAATAGAAAGAACAATAATTAGATCAAAGTTCATCCGGAGATGCTGAAGTTTTATAAAATGAAATGCCAGCTAGTTAAAGAGATGAACCGGTTAAACTCAGTCAGTCATGTTCACACAGGTAACCGTTTTAAAGACATTACGCTTCGTCACTGATCATGTGAAGGAACCTAAAACCTCAAGACTACAACATTTCATGCTCCTGCAAACACTGCTCATGTTTAATGTGAACCTCTCGACTCTGTCCGTCTGTAGAAACCGCCCATCACAGGCTCTCTGACGTCACGAGCATCCGCTGACCTCTGACCCTCCTCGCGTCCCTTCATGTGACCTCACACTCGAGCGATGACATCACTTCCTCACGTCTGCATGTGCGCAGAAAGGTCAATTCTGTGGGAGAAGATGAGCTTGATTCTGCAGTATTTGTTTGTGTGACAAGAGCACACTGACAGAACTGAATCAGGTGAGACAGCAGCCGTTTTCTTTATCTTTCTGTATCAGAAGCAGAAATAAAGCTCACCTGCTCAACACGTAGAGGAACTGATCTGGATCATCTGCAGACTCACTGCACACAAAACAACAAGTGTTACTTACAAAGCCACGCTTTCATAAGAGCATCACAAATAAGATATCTTTGTTTTTAATTGTGATTGTCATCCCCCCACAGACAGGATTTCTTGAGACTGGAGGCTGAAAGTCTCACCCACCATAAGAACATTGGGTAACACTTTATTTTACAGCATCCCTGTTTCACACGATACATGTGCTCACTGTAGTAACAACAGTAAGATATGCATAATTACATGCAACTAAGCCTAAACCAAACCCTGACCTTACAGTAAGTGCGTGTTGTTAATTAATAACATGTAACAGGTAATAAGGATACCTTAAAATAAAGTCTAACTGAAAATTTTATATATTTTAAAGTTAAATGCATCACTCTGAGAGAAAAAGTACGAGCTCCAACCCATTTTTAGTGACCAAATTGAACAAAGTAAAATGTTGTGAAAAACTGTGATAGTGTCTCAGTCTACATCACATTCACACTGGTGTTTTTAGGAAGCCAAATAATTTGAATATAAATTAATAGTAATAATAATAATATAATTATTCTTATTATTGTATGTTAAATGGATGAACGTGGATGAGTATAGTTGAGTGTGGATGAGCGTGGGTGAGGCTGGATGAGTATAGATGAGTGTGGATGAGCATAGATGAGTGTGGATGAGTGTGGATGAGTATAGATGAGTGTGGATGAGTATAGATGAGTGTGGATGAGTATAGTTGAGTGTGGATGAGCGTGGGTGAGGCTGGATGAGTATAGATGAGTGTGGATGAGCATAGATGAGTGTGGATGAGCGTGGGTGAGGCTGGATGAGTATAGATGAGTGTGGATGAGCATAGATGAGTGTGGATGAGCGTGGGTGAGGCTGGATGAGTATAGATGAGTGTGGATGAGCATAGATGAGTGTGGATGAGCGTGGGTGAGGCTGGATGAGTATAGATGAGTGTGGATGAGCATAGATGAGTGTGGATGAGTGTGGATGAGT